AGGGCTCACAGGCTACGTCTGGGGCCTCAAAGAGGCCAGCTTGGGGCTAGAGCTCCTCATGTCGATGGGTGGGGCCCCCTTCCTCTCCCTGAAGCCAAAGAAACTGGGCTGGATCTCTTCTCACCCTCCTTTGATGTAGTCAAGAAATGTGCACTCGGACTCCACCGCAAAGGAAAGCAGCGTGACCTTGAAAACAAAAGGCAGCTTGGTCAGCGGGGAGCCCAGGGTTGGGGGGAGACGGTTCGCTGAGAGTCAGGGGGCACACAGCAGGCCACTTCTGCAGACCCCACTGCATACAGTACCCACAACGACCCTAGAAGTGCAGCTGTGGTCCCATTTTATAGCCAAGGAAACTGGCTTCAAACAGGTCATGCCATCTGCCCGGGACACGGCTGAGTGAGACTGGAACCCTGGTCGGTCTGACTCCAGAGCCTGCACTCTTGACCTTGATGCCAAACTGCATCCTAGGAGGGCCCTGCCTCTGTCACTGGGGCACAGGGGTCAAGCCAAGAGCACGAGTTTCCCCTAAGTGGACACCGATGTGGAGTGTGGAGGGCAAGGGGGTCTTCCTGACACAGGCCTGAAAACCTGCCAAAGCTGACTAGCTCCACCCTTCCATGTCCTGCTAACTGTCGACCTAAAGCACCCCTCTTTGGTCTGCGCTTATCTTAAACCTTACTTGTCCCGACTCATCCCTCTGGTGTCTCGTGATCCCTGCCTTCTCAGCCCTGAGACCCTCATAAGCAGCCTGTTCTTTCCCTGGAGGTACCTGACGGGGGGCCCCCCTTCAGAGCAGATGCCTTTCGACCTATGCCTCCTGGCGGCTTTGGCATCAGCTCGGCCAAGACAGGCAGCTACCTGGCACCTCGCTGCAATAATGATTTAGGATCATGGAGACAAGTGAAAGCCTGGCTGCCAAAACCAATTAAATGAGGCAAGACTGGGGCAGGGGACCTAGTACCTGTGCCAGAGAACTCTACCCCAGAATTTGGGGAAGCCCCTACTGGTGCAGATTCTGGTATCGTTACCAACTCTCTGGGTAGGCCAGGGAGGGCCTCTGCTTGACATCAGCCCAAATAATGGGAAGGTCTGTGGGTGCTGAGCTGGGCCTCGGAGACCCCTACCTGCTGTGGTTATGGTGTCAGGCACCCGGACGGACAAAGCCTCCTTTCACTAGCAGTGGACCATGGCAGTGGCCTCTACCCTGGCCAGCGGTCACCAGATGACCAATGATCATCTTGCAGCCTGGTCCCCCAAGGACCAGGGGACCCCCAAACCAATTACATCCGTTTCCGTTTTGGGGGTAGGGCTCTTGCCCTGGATCTTTTTTTAGCTCCTCACATGAGTCTAACCGACAGCCGGGGTTGAACCCCACTGCCCCCCACAAGGCTCTGGGCTGAGGCAGCTCCCTAACCTGCCTGACCATATGGATTCACCCAGGGACTTTGTTGCTCAGAGTGTGGTCCCTGGACCAGTAGCAGCAGCAGTAGCACCTTGATGCTGCTTAGAATGCAGACATGCAGATTCGTGGCACATTAACAAGATCCCCCGAAGATTCTGCACACAGGAAATTAAGTATGAGAAGTTCTATACACGGGTTCCCAAGTCTCCTGATATGGAACCCCAGAGAACTGGACAGGGCACAGGCATTTTAATAAGCATCCTGGACCCTGACTGATTTGTTACGGTGAAGACTGACCTGAAACAAATCATGTCCCCTCTCTGGGCCTCAGTTTCCTTATCTCTGAGAAAACGGAACGAGATCGATGGTTTTCAAACTTTTTTTTTTTTTAGCAGTACATCTGAGATTTCTCAGCTGGGGAAGGTGCTGCCTCCCCTAGGGGCATGGGAATGTGTAGGAAAGTTCTGGGGCTCTGCCAATGCCTGGGGCTCTACTGGTAGCCATGGCTGAGACCAGGGGTGCTAAGCGCCCCACAACGCACAGGGAGGTCCTGGGACATGAAGAATGATCCTGCCCCCAATGCTGACAGCACGCAGCAGACACACTGCAGCTTTGGACAAAGGAACTATTACTCCAACATTCTCCTGACTGAGAAACAGTTACAATCAGTCCCCTTTGAATGAGCAGAGTAATTTGCAGTTTGCAGGCCTGCGTCTCCATCTGTCTGTCACAGCCACCCAGCGCAGTAAGCCGGGCAGGGATGATTTATTCGCCCCATTTTACAGATGGAGAAAATAAGGTTCCTCAGAGGAACCCCGGAGCTCCCTGGCTAGGACCTCTTCTGGGTCTGGAGGTGCAGTTTGCTTAACTCTAATGACTAAGTGTGGCTGCATTTGCAGATGGGGCTGTGGACATCTACAGCACAGAGGGACACGAAGGGTACAAATCTTGAATGTATTTGCAGGGCAAAGATGCTGGCTTGTTCTAGAAGTGCACTGTGGGCTCCGCCTCAGGGCCTTTGTACATGCTGATCCCTACAGCTAGAATTCTCTTTCCCCAATATCCTCAATACTTGCTCCCTCCCCTTCTTTGAATCTCTGCTCTAATATCACCTTCTCAGAGAAAAGCTTTCTTTAATTACTTGACATCAAATAGTTATTTTGTCGCTGGCATTCCCGCAACACTTTACCTTTTGTATACTTTTTCACAAGATCACACTAACCACACGTAATAAATACAGGTATATGTGTATGTGTGTGTCTATGTAGGTATATATATATATATATATATATATATATATATTGATATGTGTGATGTGTATATGTGTGTGTGTGTGTATATATATATATATATATATATATTTGCTTTCTGTCTCCCCACTAAAATATAAGTAACAGAATGGCAAAGATTTGAGTCTGTCTTGTTCCCAGCTGTATCCCTCATGCCTAGAACATGACAGTGCTCAGTAAACATTTGTTGGATAAATGCATGAATGTCCTGAAGATCAGCCCCCGGAAGCCACGGGGCTAGTGTGATCCTAGGATGCTCGTGGTAAACAGGGGCAGTGCCGGCTGCCAGCGCTCAGTTTAACTATTGTGCTCACTGCCATCTCTAGCTACGACCTTGGTTGTGACTTTCTGCCTCTAGACCTTAATTGGAATACTTCTGGCCTGTACTTGGTTTTTCCTCTTTCATGACAAGGGATGGTAATGTCTGCCTCCTCAAGGAAACAACCTATGAAAAGCACTGGTGGGGAATTTCATTAACCACAGCCATGGCCTCACTTTCTCCAGCACTGCTTCCTTTCACAGGAGTCCCAGAATTTCTCATTCTGTGTCACAGGTGTGGCCTACACCATCTACATCGACATCTACTATCTCCCCCCAGGGGGAGGCTCCATCGCCCCACCCCTCCCCACCCCCAACGCCCCACGTCTGGTTCCCACACTCTGCACAAGCCCACCACGCAGACATGCGCAACTCCTGACACCAGACCTAGCTCGGACCTCAGGGATGTCTGCTGCCTGGCTGCAGGGGGGAGGCAGGGAAGGCTGAGGTGGCCAAATTCCCTCCTGTGCCAGAATTCAATGATTTCTTTTCTTCATTTTCTTTTTGGGGTTTACCACCTGCAAGAGAAAACAGTCACAGGATAAGAAGGAGTGTTTCCAAGCAGTCAGGGCTGGGCCCCCAGAGCTTCCCAACCCCTGAGTATGGCCCCAGCCAGCAGAATGTGGGGTCCAGGGGAGGGGAGGGTCCCGGGAGGTTTTATGAGAGATCGGCATTTAGATTTATACAGAATGAACCCGTGGGTTTCGATTAGACCCAGTGTTCCACGACCAAACACAACAGGAGTAATATTTATCTAATCTTCTTCCCCACTGCTCCCCCAAACACGCCCTCCACCCAAAGCAGCCAAAGGAGGTTCGATGTTGCAAAGGGGCCCTGTCTGCGCCTGTCCTTGTGTGTTGGCTCAGGCTGCTCCCCTCACCCCAAATGCCTTCCCCCTCCTTCCTCCACCAATTCCCCCTCCCTGAGATCCAGCCCTACTGCTGCCCAGAGGCCTTTGAGGCTCCCCCCTCCCCCCAACACTGCAGTTAGAATTTCCTTAACTGTTCTTCATGTGAAAGCTCTCATTCCAAACCAGACCTGTCATCAGAGAATATATCACAGACCTAGGGGCATATTTAGTAGATGCTAAAAAAAAAAAAAAAAAAATCACTCGTTGCTGGGCTTAACTCAGTGGTCTCAACTGCCCGCCACCTCCCCCCTCCCAGGCATTTGGCAATGTTTTGAGATATTTTGGTTGTCACACTGGGGGAGAAGGTAGAGGCAAGGGATGCTGTGAAACATCTTGGAGTGCACAGGGCAGCCCCCATCACAGGAAATCTTCGAGTCCAAGATGTGGGCAGAACCACGGCTGAGAAGCCCTGGGTGAATGAGGAGGACCAGAACCCTCCAGGGGGATTTCACACCTGCCACATCCGTACTGGGCTTGAGCCTCACCAGCTCTTTTGTTTTCACCTGGGAAGCTCAGGCCCAGCCTTTCCCTAATCTCCCATCAAAGGAAGCAAGGTGGTTTGATTTTCACACCCTAGGTCCTCTACAGGTTCCTGGTGAATTCATCCCCCACCCCCCCCCCCCCCCCCCCACCATCTCCCCAGGGGTGGCCAGTTCTGTCTTTAGCAGAGGCCTCTTCTGTCAGAATGAGAGTTGCTATCCATTTCTGGAGATAAGGAAATGAAGGGACAGGGACAGTGACTTGCCTAAGGTCACACAGCTGCTCTGGGTAGTGATCAAACTGGAAACTAGGTTCCAGCCCTCAGCCCGCCTTCCTGCCTACCTGGGTGTCACCTTGATAACAAATACAAACACATTCCTTCACAAATACTTCTGGGGGGGGGG